CAGGAAAAAAAGTAAAAATTTGCCAGCCACTGTACTTAAATTGCAGTAAAGCAATTATGTGTTCAAGAAGTGAATAAAGGATAATGGCAATGAAACTGAATAATTCATTGCAGCAGAATAGAAAGTTAAGTCATGGTGTCAAGCTCAGTTTGATCTGAATGAGTCCAAATGAGTGACTTATGGACACCGTATGTGAAAAGGGGGCCTGTTCAGAAAGGAAAAAACGGTCACCAGACAAGACTTGAAAGAAACCTGTTCAGTCAGCGTCAGGGGTCTGACAGACTTGAGTTTTGTTAGATGGGTTGAGCCAGCCCCATTCAAAACATTAAAAACAGAATCCTATAATCCAGATCTCTTAAAAACAGAAGTCTGTGGAGGGAGACGACGACTCGTCGCTGCTCCAACACGCTTTTACAGTGACGGTCCACAGCCAATAAACACATGCACGTTTTATTCAAATATTTATAGCTGCAGCTTGTTTTAAATGAAATGTCTTAACTGGAAAATAACCACTGTTTGTAACAATGGTAATATCTTCTTATAGTGCAGAAAGGCTTTCATAAAATATTTTCTGTTTGGAGCTGATTTCAGTCCGAGCTTTTGAAACAGTCCGAGCTTTATTCCAGCTGCTCTGTTCACAATATGAAACCAAAACAACAGAAATGAGAAAAAAGCGCCACTGTCACAAACAATCTGAGCTGCACAGCATAGAACTCCGGCCGCAATCTTTAGTTCAATCTGTGTCTTTGTGCCAGTGTCTCGAAAAACACTAAATTGCACATCGGGAACTTCTTAAAGCTCCCTATTTGGGAGCACTTTCATTCCCAAGCCACTTGTAAAGGATGCCAGTGCAGAGGCTACAACCCAGACTGGTAAACAGTGAGGCTGCAATAGTGATCAGATCATGATAGTCCTGTTTAAAGCTTTATTGTGAACACTCTGGACCTTGTTTTGCGTAAGTCCAAATGTGCATTTCTCCCACAGCATCTGCTTGTGTTGAGCGTTGTTATGACTGTGCCCCCGCTGTATGTTCATAATGAGCGCGCACCTTGACGACACCTTCCAAAACTCATCAAGTCATGAAGTTTGTAAAGTGTGCTCGAAGTCATTATAAGTCCCCAGTAAGAGAGGGATTACCCTGCTTATGTTGCACTCCTCACTTCCTTTATCAAAGCCATTATTCTTCAGGAGAGGAGAGGGCGAGCGCCACGGCAACAACAAAGTATAATGGAAATGGAGAAATTCACACAAATCTGAGAGAATAATGATAGCTAAGAATGCTTTCTGAAACAGCAAGGTAATGTACAGCCTGAATGAAAACACCCATATACTTTCTCTTGTGCCTCATCTCAAGTGCACTCCGACGCACACAATGAGCCTGTAGGAAGCAATCTGGAGGAACACGGGAGTGGGGAAGCTTCATTGTAGCCCACCTGACAGCGTATAGCTGGTGGCTTGATGAAATGGCAGAGGAACGGGGCTCTGAGAGCCATTAGATATTTTCGTTGACGGACTGAGCTCCCACGTCCCCCCCCACCGACGTTGTGCTTTTCTCCGGCATAGAGGGGATCAGGCCGAGGACACGAGTGCCATTAGGCGTCGAAGTCAGCCAGGCAGGCAGCGAGACAGGCGGACACAGACTGATAAGCGTATGTTGGTTTTATAAGCCTGGCTCAAATGGGCTGCAGAGAAAATTAGGATTTGGGGTATTTTGTCCTTTTTTTTTTTTGACCCGCTCTTTCACTTTCTCTGGCTCCTTCATGCCATTTCAGTATTTTTCTATTTCACTCCCTATTCACATGCACTGTTTTTCACAAGGTCAGGTGTGGAGTCTACCCTGCCTCTCCTCGCTCTGTTTCTCACCACCAATACCAGCCATTTTTAGTTACCTCCTCGCATCTTCGCCCCTCACGCCTCTCTCTTTCACGTCTTTTGTCCCTCAACTGTTTCCTATTAACCTTGGCTTACACCATCCCCTCCTCCTCTCAACACTTTCATTCTCTATTCTTGGCACCGCATACTTTTTGCACCCTCTCATCCACACTTTCCTTGCACTTCATCCCTCTCCTCGGCTCTCCTCCTCCATCACTTTGGCATTCCCAGGCTGTCTCTCCCCTCATCGTTTCATCCCTTCCAGCACGGTTCCTCTCCGATTCATTTTCCTCTTCACAGATGAATGGTAGGAAATATGGAAATGTCAGTGTGACCAGGCAGGAGATCAGAGAGGACTGTGTTAATATGGCAGAGCTGTCACAGCACTATCAGCATAATGTGTGCGAGTGTGTGTAAATGCACGCATGTCATGTGGGTGGTGAAGACATAATGATCGGTGACAGTGCTTAGGTGGCTGACATTCGACCACTTGAGGATGTTGAAGAATGCGGTGCTTGTGTGCACGCATGTGTTCTTTGGTGTGTGTCTGTTTTTGTTGTTTCTTTGTATGTCACCAGCTGGCAGCACAGCTACTGTAAAGTAGAGCAGCGGTGACACAAGACGATTGTTCTCCCTCCTCTCCCCTCCAATTCTCTTTTTTAGTCCGGCTTTGCTCCTCTCCCTCTCACTCTTACCCTTGAACTGTCTTTTATTCAGCCACCCCCTTTAGTTTCTGTCTGCCTCTGCCTTCTGTTCAGTCTGACCAGTGCTCTCTTAACATTTCTCCCAACAATGACTTTTTATTTTCCTGAAATATTTTCCTGAATATTTCTGAAAGCCTCTTGTGATTATGCTCATGTATGCACTGACCTACAGTTCTAATGACATTTTCAGTCTTCGGGGGTCGGGATTTGGGGGGTTTTGTGGAGGATGATGCCATGTTTGTTTTGTGTGTAATATTCATTTCCCCTGGAGGTTGTGTGGAGTCTCATAAGGCGAGACGGTCTTTGGTCTGAGCTCTGACTGGAGCTGACCTGTTTTGACTCACCTCTTATTGCCTCCGAATGATAGACAACAGACCCCCACCTCGGTTTTGCCCCCACAAGTTTACATGCGCACTGGAGTTGAGCTCCTTCATTCGACCGGGGAATCGGTTCTCTCCTTTGTCCCAGTATGCATGCATGGCAGAAAAATCATTTTATGGACTGAATTATGTCTGACTGTGCAGTGTTGTTTACTGTGTGAGAAAATGTTCAAAACAATCAAACATTGATGATTTCCTCGGTGGGAGAACATTACATATTTAAGTGTAGCCAAATTCACTGTAGAAATATCTCCAAGTAACTTGACAGGATTTTTATTAGATTATAAACTCCGGATTTTATTAGAGAAGAACAGCAGCCTGGAAATGCCTTAAATGCTATAATGTAGCCCTAATGGTTTGATTTTCAGTCACAATGTCTGATGCGTTTAACCATTTGACCAAAGAAATGGGGTAATGTGTGAATTATGGCAGCTTCAGAGGGAATTCTGCCACATTAAAGTACACTTGCTCTCAACTTTTACACTGAAGTGTCTTTTTTTCCCCCCTGTCATTTAAATGTTGCACAGGCGAATGGAGTGCGCTTTTTTCAGCTTGTGCACATGGAAGAAACATGAGGTGAAAACTCTTTTTGTCTGGCGTAGTGTAATGACCCAGAACATGTCAAGTAGACTCCATCCATGCACCACAATCAAGACTTGTAATCAAGGGGTTTCAGTAACCTTTCATTCTGTTTTCTTCTTTTGAGGCTAAGTCATTTTGTAACCAGAGCACAGCTCCCATTCCCAAAGCTAATCTGTAGTTAGTCAGTCCAGTTCAGGTGGATTGACAGCGAGTTGCCACTTGAGCCACGCTAAGTGTTCTAGACATGTGAAAGATTACAGGCCCACAGCTCCACGCTGAAGGCATCATGACACGCTCGTATGTTGGTGCGCTATGAAGAGTTGAAGCTGGGGTTTGACAGGCACAGATATGTTCACTTTTGTGCGACTCTGTGTTTGTGTGTCCACAGAAGGGGGGGGGGGTTGGCTTTCCAGCCCAGTTAGACTATGTGCAGCTCCCCAGGCTGCTTAGTGGTTGTCCGGAGTTTCCTCTGTGGCTACAAGGGGGTTGTTTTGTGGTTGTAAATTGGGCTGGCCCCGGGAGAGCTGATGTTATTCTAGGAAAGTCTGGTTTTCATCCACTTTCCCACTCGGTCTTTCACTCATTCCTCGCTCTTCTCTTCTTCTCTATTGATATCTTAGATCCCCAAGAGAGGAGAAGGTGTGGTGTTTATTGCTTGTCAAGAGAAAGGTAGCTCTGGCCTTTCTTCTTATCTCCAAGCCCATGGGTTTCATGTGTGTGGGTCCACCTCTGTGTTTGTGTGCGCTCCAGCCCTCCAGTTAATATTTGTCTCAACACAGCAGCTTCAGCTCAGCACAAACTGGGAGAACTAGTTTAGCAAGTAATTGCTTCTCTTTAGGGGAAACAGTTTCACTGGGGCTGTTTTTTTGTTAACGCGTTGTGAGCACGCAGGCATCCACTCCACCACCTTGGCTGCAGACATTTTGAGATTGTGAATATGCAGGTAATCCATTCTTACTTAAAACAGGTGCCATCTTGCTGACATATACTAATGTGTGCTTATTCATACAAGTAATTACATTTTCACAGAGACCCGGATTACACTTACGGACCCACACAGGAACAGACTGTCATCGTAAAGCTCCCTTGTGCTCTCACACACCCACTGACACACCACACCAAGTAAAGCATATTTATTTTGACTCTGTTGTTACTCAGGAATGTGTCGGCACAGCAAATGGTAAGCTGTAGAGAAGCATAACCCATCCTCATGATTTATGACCAGTGTGCGAAAGAGAACTGGCTTTCGTCTTCTCCTTTTTTTTTTTTTTTTTTTTTTTTTTTTCAGCAGCACGTATCCCAGCTCTTTTATTTATTTTTTGGCCTCTCTCAATCCGCACAGGCACAGTCATAGAGAGATACCAGACTCTTGGCCTACTTGCCTGGGTCACTAATACTGTACTGTGATGTACCGAACACTTCCATACCGTGCTCATTTATCATCATGAGGCTTTTTACCAACATGATTCCTGCGTTCCCCTCTTCTGCTTCCTCCTCCAGTGAAGGAAATGACAATTGTTCATGCGTGTGTTTTTTCTCTTCTTTGTTTTATTCAGGAACGTCAGGTCAGCGGGTGAAGGTGAAGCCAGAGGTGGCGTCGTATCCTGGCCAGACAGTCAACCTGCAATGTGCCTTCTCAGATACCGAAGGGATACAGATCTCATTGGTGAGATCCACACTGCCTAGATAGCATTGTCTTTCCTTTTTTTTTCAGTCTGCATCTGAATATCTCTCTTCACAAAGACAAATATGTTCACAAACTCTAAACTCAGTTTGTGCTGCTTAATTCACATAATTATGCCTCCTCCTGAAAGTGTTCAACCCAGTGTTGACTTTGCACAATGTGTATGCGGGGACATTGTTCAGGAATATAATTTTCTTCCAAACGAAGGCGACCAGGTGTCTGCCATTCAGTTTGTCTCCTTTCTCATCAAGTTAAGTATTTAATTAGCTCGATTTCAATCTAAGTTTATTTAAATTTAGTCGTGCAGGTGCTTAAGAGCACTTACCTTCAATGAAAGACCTTTAATTCAGGTCCATATTCAGTTCTCTTTTTATTGGATTTTTTTGCCAAATAAATCCTAATCCAGCTATTTATAGTCCACAAAAATAATCTTAAGGTTTTTGAAAGGTTTTTTTTTATTATCACATTAAGGATTAACGCTTTATTACCAAAACAAACCGTACTAATCTTCATTTTGCTTAAGGGGATTGAAATGGTAATTGATGCACTTCTTAGTAGCGTCAGTAAAGTGAAAGTGCTTAGTTGTTTCCACTGTGAAGAGCTGAGACTGTACTGCTGCTGGAGATCCATATTCAAGCCACCTCCACTAGCATGATTGCCATGCAGTATGCATGTTTTCCTTTTTTTCTATTTCTATAGACACATTCACTCCTTACCTCTGACACTCCTTTTGCTACATTACAGGTTACATGGATCTATGAGTCAAAGGATGGCGAGAGGACTAACATAGCTGTGTTTCACCAAAAATTTGATCCGAGCTACCCCAACTCGCCAGTGAAGGGAAGAGTCAGCTTCATGCCCAATCCTCCAAACCTGGCCAGCCCTTCCATCCAGATAAGCAATGTTAAGATGTCTGATGAGGGGAAATATATCTGTGAATATGCAACCTACCCTGATGGAAATGAGCAGGGCATCATTCAACTGATCATGCTGGGTAAGTTTTATAAGACTCAGAAATGACTCCACCAGCTGAGCACCTTCAGACAATGTTAACGTGTAATGTCACCAAATAGATACATTTGAATCCGACACATCTTGTGAAAGATCTAGTTGATTCCAATAAAACACAGGTTGTTCCAGTCTCAGACCTTCAGGTGGAATTTGAAACCACTGTAAGCAGATGGTAGAAGGGTCAGATTTCAAAGCGAAAACAAAAGCTTGATTCTGAAACATTGCCTCTGTCCTTTTATGGTCATACTTTAATCTAATACATGTTAGAAACATGTGCCAGGGCAATCAACACATCATGTGAGAGGATGAATTCTGGTGTTTTTTAAATGTTTGGATGATGAGCCAAAAAGTCCCAATTCCACTGAAAAAAGAACTCCTTCAATTGTTTTGCTTAAAGATGAAATATGTGACGACTAATGGCATTTTTTTAACGCATACTCTTAAGTTCTGAGTTTAAATCCAGAGCACACTCGTTGATCAATGCATATTAGGTATTTTTAAGAGATGCTGTAGCATGAACTCATTTAAAATTGTGTTAAAAAGAGAAGGGAAAAAAACTGTCAAAATGCTTGTTTCTACCGAAAGACTGGGTAAAAAATAGGAGGATTTAAGTGTCGGTCTTCTTTTCCAAAGTCAAATAGAAACTATTCTTTATTTGGCAATGGTCGCTTTTAAACCATAGTCGGGTGCAGAGGATTTAAGCTGCAAAACTGACATGTTTTGAAGGATCTCTCGCTTCAGGTTTTCAAGCACCATCAGCGGATTTATTTACCTGTAATTTAAAGCGGATGGTTAGGAAATGCTAATTTACTTTGAAGAAGACATGTCATAATGCTGAATATCTCCTGCTTCTTCATTTAATTTAACTCTACTTTGTTCATTTGTCAAAGGTAGAATTCAGATTTAAACCATTTAATACGTGGACTAATTGGCCATTTTAAGGGCTATCATCAAACCCTCCTATTTCTCTTAATGTAGGGAAGCACGAGACAACCTTGGCCTTCCAGCAGGTCTCTGCTCCTCTCATCTCTCTCCATCTTATAATTCCCCCATGGCTTCTCTCAGGCAGTATATTGATCTGGCTGCTGTCAGGGCCTGTCTTTCCTGATCTCCTCTGATCCCATACTAGTATCAGAGTGAGCAAATGAGGAGCACAGTGGTTAGTGGTGAAGAGGGGATTGAAGAATCACTAATCTCGTGTAGTGATTCAGAAATTTTAGATGGAAATGCACTGGACCAGTCAGGGAAATTGTTTATCAATGGTTTGCAATGGGTTACTAGAGGGACTAGATTAGGGAGGGAAATAAAATTGACTGGTACCAGTAATTACCATGACAAGAGGGAAGCCGGGGCTTTGGTCAGGCCAGTGACTCAAATAGTTTGGCTGGAATATAGTACTTTTTCATCTTTTTCAGGTTGCTTTTTTTCATTTTAAAAATGGTCTGTCTCCCCCTGTCTCCATCCTCTACTTATTCTTCATTTCATCCACTCTTTAAACAGCTAAGCCCAAAAACACGGCCTCCATCATAACGGCGGATGTGAGCAGCACACCGGTCAGTGTGGCTCGCTGCGAGTCTGCGGAGGGCCGCCCGGCTGCTAAGATCTCCTGGGTCACCACGGCCAACGGCAACGAAACGACCACGACAAAGCCCGCGGCTGACAACACTGTGACTGTGGCCAGCGAGTACCGTTTGGCTCCCACACCTGCAGACAACGGAAAAGACATCAGCTGCTTGGTGCAGCACAGGACGCAGGACAAACCAGAGAGCTTCAAGATGAAGTTGGTCATTCAGTGTAAGAAGCCACACGCACACATGTGACCATAATTTCCTTTGATTTCCACACTCAAACATGATAGAACTTTCCCGCCTTTATCATTCCTGACATTCATCTGTCCTCCCCCAGATGCCCCTGTGGTGAAAATATTGGGGTATGACAATAATTGGTACATGGGTCGTACAAATTTGGTGCTCACCTGTCAGGCTGACGCTAACCCCATTCCACTCTCTGTCAACTGGAGAAGGTGAGTATCGGCACACCCTGGAATCTTTATTGTCTTTTCTGTTACCAAGCTTTGTGTTTCTCATTTCTCCCTCCTTCCCTTCAGTCCCAGGTTCACAATCTTTCCATAGCTGTTATCAGTACTTGCCACTACTACACTGGAATGTGATTAGTATGCTGTAAATAGACATGTAATTTATCATAATGAACTCTGAGACTAGATTTAACTGTTCCATAATGACAAGAGCTGTGTGGGAAAGATGAGATTTTAGGGCTGAATCTTGTCGTTTTGATTCTCCTCATGCTCCCAATTCATTTTCCAGCATTGTACAATAATGGGTTGACTTTTGTTGTGGCTGGCTTGCAAAATGGTTGTCTGTGGCCAATCAAAAAGAATGAAATCTATTAACGATGCACAAACCGGCACTTTTAGTGTTGGCCTTATTTTCTAACAAAGCTGTCCTTTTTTTTTTTTTTCTTTAATGATCTTCTCTCATGCCAATCTTCTCCTGTTCCTGCAGCATGTCAGGAGAGATACCAGACACTGTGCAGATCAACGGCAATGAGCTGAAGGTGCTGAAGGTGGACGAGGCCATCAACACTACTTTTGTCTGTGAGGTGAAGAATCGCTTGGGGATCAGGAGGGATCAGGTCACGGTCATGGTCAGAGGTGAGCCGGATCACACAGACACCTTTAGCCTAGAAATACACTGACAAAGTCATGACAAACTCACAAATGTGTGAGTGACCTACTTAAAATTCTTTAATGTGTGCTTTTAGTTTAAAAAAAATGCAGCGAGAAGTGCCTTTCTGATGCACTTCTCTGTAATATGAGTTGCAATCGCAAATCCACTAATTTTCTGTTCAAGATTCATGAAAAAGCCATTAGTGTAATTTACCCAAGTACAAATGTCCAAACACGCTGATGAATTATATATGGTGAAAGCATCAATAAAGCAGTGAGAATTCCAGGGATGAAATGAAATGCACACTTTGGATGCATTCATCATGCAGACTTTCCTCAGGCTTACAAGTGTGATGTGGTGAACTGGTGCAAACTGCTCTTTCATCACACAAGCTACACATTTCTCAGTGCTCTGTGCTCTTATGGCTTCCCCGGGGATACACCTTGCTTGCATCAAATCACATGCCACAGACAAATTCCCTATGCTGACTATCAGGGGTGTGTAGCACAGGTTTAGAGGGTCAAGCTGCTCTGTCCTGGGTGTGTGTGAATATCTGAGGGTGTTGGTGTGTGCACATGTATGCCTTGCATGCCTTCCAGTGGTTTTGAATTATCTGCTTTATCTTTCTTTGCTTGCTTCTAAGAGTCCACTCAGCATCTCCACATCTCTTTTCACACTGTTAATGAAGTTTATTTCTCACGTTTTTGCACCGTAGCAGTACCCAAGGCCTCTTGGCCATTTTCAGAACTTTAGTCTTGAGTCTGTGAAACTGGGCCGTGAGAGCGATGCATTTTCTGATAACAGTTTCACAAATTTGACATACATTTGCTGTTGATGTCATGGGTAACGTTTCTATGATACTTGTTTTGTGTTTTTATTAATTGAATGCATATGTGTAGTCGGGTATATGCATTTGTGTGCTGGAGAATCAAGGCAATATCAATATTGGGAATGAAGCTTTTCATACCAGTGCTTGTCCAATAGGTCCATACTATCCCATCCCCCTTCCGTTCCTCAAGAGTTGACTGTGCCTTTCAGCAGGGTTCACTCTTGCATTTCATCTCATACAAAATACATCCTCATCCACTCTTGTGTCACATGTTTGCACTTAACCTGAAGATATTTTCTGCTGACGTGGGGGTAAAACTTGTCCATAAAGGGGGGTTGGGGGAGAGCACATTTCTCTGTTAGCTGAATCTTAAGAGCCACCCAGCTTTTTCATGCCCTCCTTTTTTAGTTTTTTCTTGTCCTCCTTACTCTCCTCCTTATTTTGTACTTTTTGTCTTTTTATCTCTCTCATCCCTCCCATTTTTCTTCAAGTCCCATGGCTCCATATGGTGCCACAGCATGCGTCACCACTCCTCTGGGGCCACTCTGCTCTGCTGCATGCAGTAGTAGTGTAGCTGGCCTCTGTAGCACAAGGCATGTCACAGTCTCCTGTTGTGTTTTACAAGCAACAAGCAAGAACGATGCAAAGATCCAGGGAGTCGAGGGAGCAAGATGGAGACTGCTGCTTTTAGACTACAAAGCAAAGGAGTGTGCACCCGGATAAATCAGTGCCAGCATGCAATCTTTAGTCGGAGAGGGAGAGGGTAAAGGCATGAGGGATGGAGTGGGATGCTGACAGCATTTAAAACTCCCATGGGAATCTTGTGTCACTGAATACTATCTCCACAGCCATTGGCCTGCACTATCTCTCAGCATAGCGTGTGTTTCTGTCACTCTCCGAGCCTCTCAGAGCGGATCAGTCACCCTTTGCTGCTTCAGCTCCTCACCGCTGCTCTTCTCACTCCACCATCCATTCCAACTGCTCTGTCTCATCCAACATTTCCACTCCTCCCTGTAGTAGCTTCCTCCTCCATCATCTCTGTTCTCCATCTTGTCTTGTTCTCTCACTGAAGACCACCTCCTCCCTCCATCCTACTTCAGTCTTACTCATTTGTAGTTGAAGGAGGAGGATAAGATGCAGGCTAAATCTGCCAACTGCTGAGTGAGGTGTGGGCAGCCCGCAAATGTTAAAGAGAAAGAGGTTTTGCGGAAAGTAGAGCGACAGAAAAAAAGCATCTAAAAGAAAATGGGTTTTATTGAGAGAAACAAAAACGCGGATGAGAGTCAAAACTTAGTCGGACAATTGTGCAGGGATGCCAGACGGTGGTGTGATTCAGACCTGCAGAGGCTAATGCGAATGTGTGTCGACAAACAGGGCTAAGAGGGTTCGACAGGCGTGAAATGGTCAGCACCTGCTACACCGCAGGTCCCCCTCCCCTTTTTACCCCATAGGTGCATGACACAAACACAAACACGAGTCCACCCACTGGTGTGTGTCTGCTTACTTGTGTCTGCTGCCCTCAGTTTTGCCTTGCTCACATGGGGGGGGGGCCAAGAGAGGGGTGGATGTCTTCGCTTATCCTTGCCGCTGCTCCCCTCATCTTCGATCCTGCTGCTTAGTCACATACAAACGTTACCCTCCTCTACTCTTTCTTTTGATTTATCTCTGCCTCGCCATCCCTTTGGCTGCAGTTTGCTATTTTCATTGCATCTTTCATCCACTCAATTAGCATGTGCTCTCCCCTCATCCCACTTATCTTTCTCAGGTTGTCTTTCAGCCTCCGCAGGTATGATGCTCAGCCCCCTGCTCGTGGAGAGTCCTGCCCCCAGTATTCTCTCCTTCTCATGATATCTCCCTGTCCTTTTAAGCTGAACTCTTAAATGGCAGAAGCTCTTCCTTAAACACAGCTTAGTAGCCTCCATCCTTCTATCCATCCCTACATTCTGGACTCCTCTCAGAGGGAGGAGGGGTTGGGGTAGTTCTTGTGAGTCTAACCCAGATTCCTTCTATATCCAGTCGTTCTTTTTCTTTTTTTTTTGCATGAGTTTCTCTTTTTACTCCTATTGGACTTAAAAGGAACAGCTCAGCTGAACCTAAAAAAAAAAAAGCAACAAATAAAAGACTTAAATGCCCTGGACTGCATCCCTCCTGTAGTCCGAGAGGCTCCATGGCTCAACTGGAAAGAGATTTCCTTTCAATTTGATGCATTCTCACCCATTTTCAGACTCATCTGAGGAGACAGTTCAAGGGCAAGGGGCTTGGCTGTTTTCCTCCACTGGGTTAGGGCGTGTGCGCGCATGACTCCCCACATCTGCCTGTGTCTCTCGGTGTGTCTCTAACCATGCGAAAATGGCCAGAGAATAGGTCTGATGGAGCCAAGTCCCCCTCCAGCCTGAAACTGGCCCCATTCCCACCCCTCATTAGCCCGCATACGCACATTTTTCAACGAACGCACACACAGCTTTGTTAAATAATTAAATATGCTGATATAGAATATTACTAAGCTATGCTCTAGGTGGAGCCCAGAACACCATCGGATCACTGATGAGCCGAACGGTGTGGGAGTGCATTTGGGTCTGTGACCCTGCCTGCTTTTGAGAGGCTGCGTTCAAATTTACTTCCACTCCATTGTTCATATTACTTGTGGTCATTTGGAGCACACGATCACTGTGGGCATGACTTCTAAGAAGCATACAGTCGGTTGGCTTCTGCAGCATGCTATGTGCATGTGGGAGGGGGGTTTGGTTTTCTATGTTTTTCCACTCGGTTTTTCTCACAGCATGCATATTGCAGTCTTTCTGTCGACTGATCCAGCAGCATGTGTTGATAAGAGGTCCCCTCCTCTCATTAAAAGAATAAATAAATAAAAAATTCCACTGGCACTTTGTTAGGCTGTGTCTGAGTCTGAAATAGGCCTGTGCTGGGAGCCTGGGGGGGCTTTATATCTCCCTTTTTAAATCTTTCAAGTGTTGTCTCAAGAAGGTTGAAACAAAACATGAATTATTATCCACGAAAGATTTTACCAGCACAGATGTTGAAAGCGACACTTAGGAAGTGACTTGAGCACCACATTCGAATTAATTGGATGGAGGAGTATTGAGGGAGAATTTGCATTGAACATTTTAGTGTACTTCCCCTTTGATGCGACAGAAATATGTGACCTCATCCAGTCCCAAAGTTTGCTCGGAGATTGCCATGTTGCATGTGGTGGAGCGCCACAGAGCCCGAGGTGATAATGCATTTCTCGTGTTCCTGTTACAAGTGGACACGGAGTCCTAGCTCTCACTGTCATGTGTGTGAATCGGACTGTTTAGCACAGCATACTGGGTGAGACAGCCTGAGTGCTGTGGGAAAATGGGGGGAGAAAAACTAACGAAAGCAGGAGAAAACGTATCCATCATTATCAATTTTTTTTTTTTTTTTTCCCTGGCATATGTTGCATAGGAAGCACAGAGATAAGTGGCGTAAGACAGAAGTACATATCTAAATAGGAGCAATGACGGGGAAAAATGATTGTAGGAGACAGAGTGCGTGCAGGAGACAGCTGGTGAAGTGGAGGCTGAGATGGAGAAAGGGGAAGTGGAAGACAGAAGAGGCAGACTTATAGAGTAAGAACAGAGCAGAGCACAGGTGCAGACAGTGGTATACTTCCATTTTCTCACTTGACAAGAATCACTGTTACAAGAATAATTCTGTCAGCTCTCTGTAAACTTAGCAAGAAAGGCTGGGATCTGTAGGATTTCAAATGTGAATGACAATAAGAATAGGGCTGATTTGCCACTTTCAAATTGAGGCAGGGATTTCAACAGCAGCATTTTGTGGTTAATCCTGTGCAGTTGCTGGTGAAAGTGAGGGAGAGGAGAGCAAAAGCAACTGAGAGGCTGTTCAGTGTGTCTGAGGGCTGCTGATCACACTTAGCTCGGGACTAGAATTAAAAATGTATTTGCTCACCACGACTTTATCTCATTCAAATCTGAGGGGAGTTGGAACAGGCGGATAAGACAAGACTTTACTTAATAACATGATGTTTCTACATTAAAGGATATTATGCGCAAAATATTTGTAAAAAACATTTAATATAAATTCTTCGAATCCATTAAAAGTAAGAATAATGTACTTGGAAAAAAAATCAATTTTCCTTTCAAAGGGTAAGCTTACTCTTTAAATCTCCAAAGATGTCATGTTGCCGTAGAAACGGCTTATAGAATAATATCTAAGCTGTCTTTATAATGTATTCATCCTTTCTATTTGAGTAAACCCACTTGATATGTTGTCTACACATTGCTTTGCAACATCACCAGGGCCATTTGGTGGATATTTTTCTTCAAAGTGCTTCACAGTACAGTGACTTCAAACAACATTAATTCGGGCAATGGTACTGCCAAACTCCCAGCCCACTGAGTTATGGATGATGACCACATGGGGAAAAGAGTCGCAGGTTCTCTTTATGGGGAGTTGTTAGAGTACCCAAAAGCACTTAGAGCCTGCATGTTATGACCTCAAATAAGACTGTGCAGAGCATTTCTTTTGGCTATATTTGAAACTTTTTTTTTCTCAAAATGTCTTTGCTCTACCAAGACAATCTGGCATCAACTACGTACAGTTAAGATGCCTTTTCCAATGTACCAGACACAAACATTTAGTTTATTTGAAATGCATTTCTATTCTTGTGGGTTTTTAAAATTTATTTCACAAGGACATTAAATGGGGCTGTTTGTGTTTATAATAAACCGCATCGTTACTTACATTATGAATGTGTAAAACCGTAGACTTTTTATTCCATCGTTTTATCTAGGACTTTCAAACAATATTCCACCTGAACCTTGATTATCTATTCAAATACCTACTTTAAAATAGAGCAATACAACCTGAAAAGGCTGTCAAGGGAGTGGGAAGAGCCATTCAGCTACTAATCCATGTGGGATCTGTTCACAACCCTGAATTAGAGTCATCGCGTTTCTCCCAGGAGTTTTTTATGCATGCAAATGCACAGATTGTACAACTGTGCATGGCAGAGTCCTAGTTTTGCTCGTATCCCCAATCAGTCAGTTTATACTCTGATAAAGCCAATAAAATGAAGTCTGTTTGTTTGTGTGTGTGTGTATGTGGGTGTGTATGTGGGTGTGTATGTATGTGTGTATGTAGAACAAGGCAGATGTGACTTGATGCTGGAGAAAATAAAAAATCAGCACCCAGATGTGCTCCAAACCCGTTCGTGTTTTACAGAAAGGGAGAGGGGGGCCTGCTTGTCTCCTTTATCTCCATTCATGGCTTTAACGAACAGTTGTCATTTTACTATTTCGCTTTGTAATTTCCTCCGGCCGCCAACTCATCCTCCACCTCCTCCTCCGTCTCCTCCTCCATCTAATTCCACCCTGCGTTCCTCCATTTGTCGTTATCGGCGTCCTCCTCCTGCATGGCCACCACCTGTTCTGCCTCACGCACACTGCTCCCCGCCACTTCAGAAAGCCTGTGTGTGTGTGTGTGTTTTAACTGATTCATCCATTTAGTTATTCTTCATATAACCCCTAAACCCGACTGCCTTGCATTGCGATTTATGGCAAGTCTTGGATGGACTCTGGCTGTCAAGCTGAACTCGGGGGAGGAAACGGGACAGGAGCAGCTCTGAATGTTGGGAGGAAATGTCAGTGTAGCGGGAAGCTCAAAGTGCACACAATCACGCACACACGTGCACACACACACACACTTGACACCTCAGCTCTCTTGTACACTTGACTGAATACAGTTCAGACCAGCACCACTGACTTCTCCCTACCCCTTCTCCTGTCTATTTTACCTTGTCTTTTCTTCCTGCTCCTTTAATGCCTTTTCCTCTCTCCATCTGGTGTTTTTTTTTCTTCCCCTCTTTCTCAACTCCCCCCCCCCCTCCTGTCTTCCATTTTCTCCCTTCTTGCCTGTCTTCCCTCCTACAGAGCCCTCACCAAACCCATCCAATGCCGGCGTGGTAGCCGGGGCCGTTATAGGCTCGCTGCTGGCCCTGCTTTTGGTCGCCGCCCTCATTGCCGTGCTTGTCACCCGTAGCCGCAGACAGCAGCAGGGCTACCGGGCCAACGGCGGCAGCGACATGAAGACGCGCATATTTGGTGGCGGAAAGAAGGCGAGCAAGAATGGCACGGGCGGAGGGGCCGGAAGCGGTGGCGTCGGAGGGGGAAACAACAACGGCCCCATCTACGTTAGCAATGAAAGCTCATCTCATCAGGGCCTGGGAGAGAAAAACAACCACCACCAGCCACTGACCATGGGGGGCCGGCCCGAAGTCGTTGCCACTACACCCACCGCCCAAGACATCCTGCTGAGCAACGAATTAGACGATGCCGAGAGGAGGAAGTTTGACGAGATGGAGGAGGAGAGGTATGACCATTTCTCCGGAGGAGCTCCCATCCTTCAACTTCGCCAGCCTCACGACCAGGGCGATATGATTGGAGATTACCTGGATGACGACATGGAGTCCCAGCGGGATGGCTCGGTCATCTCTCGAACTGCAGTTTACGTATAAAGGAGGAGGAGGAGAGGAACGGGGGAGGAGGAGAACAAGAAAAGCAGGCTATAGAATTTCTCTTGAGGATTTGGTGGTTCTGCGGTCGTGTCCCTGTCTGGTAGATAGAAAGAAAAGAATACCATTTTTATTTTTGCAATTGAATTTAAATGTATCCTACTATTAATCACAGTGCAGCCGCAGAATGGCCTTGATTGAAAGAGAGGGTGTGTGGGAAATTTCAAAAGGAGCGTTATCAAGTCCCTTGGAGGTGAAAAGCAGAGGAGAAATGAACAATCCGTCTCCCAACGCTTCTGCTCATGCTCTCTCCATCACTGGGACCTTGACTCTTGACAGAGACTGAAAGGGAAACTGCATAGTGTGGGAGTAAGATGGTGGGATCATGATTCAAGCTTACTTATTAAGGAGGCATCTTGCTTGCATATTCACTCTTACCTTAACTTAAGAAAAAAAAATTGGGTCGTTGCACAAATACTTGTTGCCTGTGATTCTCAGTCCTCCTAAGGGACACCTTTGTTTTGGTAAAGTGTCACGCTGTTACTTCTGGTTTGTTGATGTTGTTTGTACAGACGGCAACCATCAGGTGTATTGGAGAAACTATTTGCTCATGCCTTTTAATGAGTTCCTCTCTCTGCCTTCCTTTAGTACTCTGAAAGCATCTCTTTAGATAATTAGACATTAGACTCTAGAAATGAATTGAACGAAATTTTTGACGAGCGTTCGCTCCTTTGTGTTTTGCAAATACAAAAGCAGACAAATTATACAAAGTTAGTTTGCAGAGAGTTTGAAACAATGTCTTAACAAGGTAGTCGCATGCAAACTTTTGTGCCGTGCCTGGAGGCAAGAGATGGTAAACAAGTGATGAGGGAATGAGGTGCAGCTGATCTGACAGGGTCAAGGGATGAAGAGTGGGGATGCAGGAGGATGGGAGATGAGCACGTCTCTTCTCTTCTCTTCCTCCTCATCCTCATCTCTTCGGAGCACTGCTGACAGGAGGAGCTTGATTGGTAATGAGCCGTGAAGTCGCTCGCTTAGCCGGGACCAACAGATTGCCACTACTTATCGTTTATGACGTGGTATTTCCTCTCCCTCCTCCCACCTCTATCTCGCCTTCACCCCTCCATCTCTCCATCTTCCTTTATCCCTCTCTCTCGAGTTTATGAGGAGTTTATGATTTATCCAGGGCAGAGCTAAGGTCAGGGCTGTAGAGAGCAGGGGAGTATTTTACCACTGGTGATGTGTCAAATGCCCCACTTACTCGACTCCAGCCCTGCCTGCCCCGACATATCAGGACTGACTAATCCACCTGGAGTGGCCCCACTCACTCCGAGCCCCCTGCCTCATCCGACACCCAAGTAAAAGGCCGGATGTAACAGGACCTCACCCCCTAAAGTACAGTGGCATTGGGTAAGACAGATTTTCCACTAAGGTTAATATAATATTTCTTTCCATTAGCAGACATAAAGCAGTGAATTGATTTGGACATGTAAAGGGTCGGGTATTGACTAACGGGCAACATGTGATGAAATGGCCCTTTTTTATGAGACAGGTTCAGGGCTGATTCTTTCCAGAGTGCTTAATTAATCTTTTTAACAAGTCAGCAGAAGTTCGTCTAAGCAATTATTACTACCTGTCTCCCGTACGCTGCTGTGTTTGAGGCTCAGTTTCTACATGGGCATGCTTTGTAGAATGCAAACAATCGTGGTGGCAAGCTTTTCTATTCATGCTTTTCCCAGCCTTCTAACCGCTCCCTTCTGACCCCCAGAGGGGAATCTGGTGAGTCTAGTTCTGATGAGTGGACCGGCCTCTGCAAAGCCAGCTAAGATCTGGGTAGGCTCTTGCTTCAGGTCATGGGGTCAAAGACAGGGTGACTCATTGCTGAGGGCAAAAATGACTGTGCTCGCCCGCATCTCTTATGATGGCTATTTAACCTTGACCTACTGATGTCGGAGCAACGCTTAAATACAGACCTTGCATCTGTATAGTTGGAGTGGGTCTTCGTTTTCTATCGTGACGGCCGTTTACCTTCAGACAGGTGGAGAGAGACACAGGAGAGGGATGACAAAAATAGATGGCATTTAGTATTGGGGAACTGTGTGGCATTTTCCTAAGCACGCGTGTTCAGTGGGAATATTGTGTAATGGCCTTAGATTATACATAAATGCAATTTCTGTCAATCTGTGGCATCCAGATTTTCACAACCACTACATAAAAAAAATGTATTACTCATTTTTGCACTGGTTTCTCACAGTTACAAAAAGGAAAATATGAGTGTGAAGCTTGGTTTTAGAGGTTTAAAAAAAAAAATCGACAATGGACAAAACCTGTATGTACATTTTGATGTGCAGTATCTGTGTACTATATACGTCTTTTTTAAATTTTCTTTCTCGTGAAAATGTGGATATTTATCAAAATGTAAATATCAGATCGATGAAGCCATCGTTGCCAGGAATAAAGACGGAAGTGTTTGGCGTGAAGCTAACAGCACTAAGCGGGGGGGTGGGGGGGGGATGCTTTCAGAATGTAGTTTTCAAACTGATGAATTCCTCGGGTAGTTTGGTTGTTACAGTGCACTGAACTAGCTGAGCTTAGCTTACCTGAACCCCTGGAGCCAGACTGATTTGGGCAGAAAATAAGGCTATTTTTCCAATTTCCTGCATTTCCACAAAAGAAGCACATCAATTTGTGTGCACGGTAGCTTTACTTTCCCTTTTGACCGATGCTTCGCACAGGGCAAAAAATGCACAGAAGTTATCAGGTAGACTTTAACCACACAAGCTCCTGTGTTGTGTCTGAGTCAGCTTTCTGTTTGTGTATAGTTGTGTGTCGGTGTGTGTTTTAGTGTCGCTTGCAGGCTTTTGGACATCTCTCGGCCTTTGGGACTGTAACCCGAGTAGCCATTCTCTGTCGCCGTGGAAAAACTGGCAAAGTGAAAATATTATTGCACATTTCAAAGGCACACATACTGTACATATACACTCGGAGAATGCAGAGAAACATTCGCCCACGCGCAAACACCCCTCAGTCGCTCTCATTATGCTCACTCCCACAGCCAAACTGTGCAGCAGACACCTCATACCTGACAACTCTGCCGTCTTTTGGCATAGGCCCACACGAACGCACTCCCCAAGCTGCATGCACTCACACACACCCTAAATAAATCACACTAACATGAAAAAATAACTTTCTCCTCTGCTTGCTCGGTGGCTGCGACGGGTTGTAGACTGTGTCCTGTTGTTTGGAGAGAGATGAAGCAAGGTGCGCCCCAAATCTGAAACCATGTTGGTTCAGGGGACCACACAGTTTCCAATCTGTGTCAGAGAAGGTTGTTTTTTTTTTTTTTTTTTTGTAAAGCCATTCATCCGCCTTCTTTGTTCTGCGATTGATATCTATCTTTCACTGGAATACCAACCTCTTGACCGTCTCAGAATCTTTTCAGTTCTTACAGAAGAGCCGCTCGAATAGAGAGATATTGTTTTTGATTTCCCATACTTTTGGCCGCCTCCGCTGTCGCAGCTGCCTCCATCGACACGCACACCGCAGCATCCAAAGTTGTCAGGCAAAATGCTTTTAAGTGAACCCTGCAATTTTAGTCTGGGTCTAGCATTAGGTTATGTAGTCGAAATATCCACTTCTTTTCTTCTTTTTTCTTTTCCTTTTCTGGAAAGCCTCATACTGTTATTTGTTTGGCTGAAAACATCTGATGAGTAATCAAAGCCTTAACATCTCCCATGTCACCTAACAACAAAAAAAAGAAAAAGGAAACCTTCCTGTGTACATAGTATAAATATATAAATATGTAGCAGAGAAAAAGAATTACTAATTTATGGTGTCACGTTTGTGTATTACTCTGTGACGGCAAGCATGAAGGATTTATTTTCTCCTATTAGAGTTTCTCCTATCTTCTGTTATTTTGCAGTGCTTTATAATTTATGTTTTCTGAGTGCTTTATTCTTGACTGCTGCGCTGTGATTGCTGCCAATAAATGGCAATTGTGCTTCTTCTATACAAGTGAACAGTATACAAACACGACAAAACAGTCTTACCCCAAAATGTGCTTTTTATCAATGACAATGTGTAAAAGTTGTTTTATTTTTTTGTATTTTTACTTTTGATTTATTTTGGTCTTTGAGAAGAAAAACAAAATTAGAAATGTCACAATTTTGTCATGTCTTTCTATGTATTTCTTTCGTATTTGGTTGATATTAAAGACTTCTTGATTTTTGAAGTGTTCCTGTGTTACTTTGTGTGTTTTTTCCTCTCTTCCCTCTGTCTTTTTAACGCTTGGGGGGTTGCCATGATGACTAAGGGGCCTGATTGAATGTGAGCATGAGTCATTGATTCCCAATGATTACAATCATAGACTAATTGATTCGGTTATAAAGTGGTCTCGTGGTCTTTGTTATTGTCATACCCCAGTAACCCTTTTTGTTTTGCTTTATCCCTTTACTATCATTTCCTGATGAGTATTTGTTAGACCAGGAAAACTGAGATGATGATCACAACATAGCTGTGATGAAATTGAGCAAAGGAGGCTGAGAAGTTATTCGGTGGATTACAGTTGTCCTCTTCTCCAGCCCTACCTCCTCAGAGGGTCTCTGTTCTGCACATCTGTCCAGGCTGAAGCAAACTTGCTGCCTTGGTAACGGCTATTTTGGAGATTCTTTATGAGGTTTCTCACCTGAACATGTGAGTAATAAGTGATGAAGGCACCCCAGTACTGGCTTTTTCAAGATGAATAAATATTACATCCAGCATTTCTTATGTGCAAACTGTGCCGGCACAGAGAAAGGCGTAGAGAATAGGAATGTGTTAATGTAGCTTCAGTGGTTTTCCTGGAGGGAGGCAGTTTGTGTTTTCAATTGGGGAATGTGCAGGCCAAGCTGAACCCTGGTGAAAGGGGCGCCTCTCAAAGGCTGCATTGTTTGAACTCCGACCAAACCAAACTGGTTTTGTCAAATTTTAACTGAAGGGCAAGTAGAGGTTTGCATGTCTGTTTATGTATGAGTGTACTGGCGTGAGTGTGTTCATGCATGCATGTGCACCTGCCTCATTTGGTTACATGTATTACAACAACAAAACAATCCTGACTGTCCCCAACAAAAAGCACAATTTCATTCTTCTGTAGCAACTTTGTGATGGTGACAGTTGGTTTGTGGCGGCTTATGGCAGCGTGTCCTCAGTGTTTTGCCCGGTGTTTCAATGCCATCGTGTATCTGCGTGTCATTCTGGCTCCTTGTCACAGTTCATTTTTGTTGCAGGCTTCTTCTGTCAATGCAGCTATTTACTGTGAGTCCAGCCCACCATCTGGCCGCTCTAATTGCTTTGGATTTGAGGCTGGCGAGATAGAGAGCACTTACACACACAGACGCACTCTGACTCTTTTAGGTTTTTTTATTTATTTATTTATTTTTAGTTTAATGTAAAAGACCCGAGTGCAGTTGCAAAGCTTTTAAGCTGCAGTTTGTAATAAAAGCTGGTGCTACTCTTTGCCGTTTATGGCCGTTTGTCCATGGAAAAAGGTACACACTTGATGTGAAAGCTGTGACCCTGTAGAGCCAGACCTGTTCCTTTGTGCTTCGGGCAAATAACCTGAATCTGAAGCCAAGGAGACAGCATCTATGCCGCAATCAGCATTAGCGTTCTCTGAGGAGACATGGTGTGGTACCCCCAGGCAATCCGGCTAGCTGGTGGTGGGCTGTTTATACCATGCTGTCAGTTTGTGCATACATACGTGCGTTTTAGAGAAATGGCAAGCTTTAAGAGTGCGGCCTTTAGAAAAGCAAGTGTGAAAGAAATGTTTATGGATTCATGTTGTCAGACTGTGACTGCAGTGACATGTTTATGCAAAGCTTCATATGTAACCCCTAGCTCTGTCAGTTCAAACCCTCAGTGCTGATTAAATATCTGATCATCTCTGTGTGTGGATTAACACACAGACCCACTTTGGTCTCTTTCTACTGATAACTGCTAACACAATGCTCCTCATTTAACCTCTCAGCCTCCCACTTCAGGCCTGACTAATAAATCCCAGAGTGAGTGATGGATGGCCAAGCCTGTTGCGGGGATATCTAATTGATGGATGTGGTGACCCGAGCCCTCTCTGTGATTAAAGCTTTTCTTCCCCTGACCTCAATTATGAAAAAAGGCAGCTACATATTTTTATTGGCTTTAACAATCTTTAAAAAAATATTTTTTTTCCTCCTCCCCAGCACTGTATGTCTTATAGTGAGTGTTCTGCTTGTTACAAATGCTCTATTTTAACTGGCCATTAATTGCCATTTGTCCATATTTGGGCCCTGCAGCTCTCTTGATTTGACTCATGACCAAGTCCTCATCATCCTCCAGTTTTAGGACAATTATCCGAAAGATGGAAGTAATTAATAAGTATTTATGTTAAGCATGTAATTTCTTCCACTATCCTAGATGGTCATTTGACTTCAGTCCGTGCATGCGCATGAGTGGAGAAAATGTCAGCTGCATAGGCCTTGTGATTCATAAAAAGATTATGTCTAAGGGTTCTTTCATTTCCCTTTTATACTCAAGTATGTCAAGAATGTTTCCTTACTGAGGTCTGCCCTGCAGTTTTTTTTTCCTGATAGTTGTTAATCTTGTCAAAGCTCTATTTAAACTTGCACTTTGTATTTTCTTTTTTTGGGGTAAAAAAAAAAGATGATTAAAATTAGAAATGACTTGAAGTGCCACTCTTAACCCATAAAAACCCAGAAGGACACAGGTTCTAATTAAATTACATTTATTAAAAATGACCAGTGGAACTTCTGGAAATTACAGATATTTGACATTTTGTGGTGGTATGTGATTCTAATTTATTTATTTTAACTTTGTTTATTCTAGTATGTGATAAATGGGGTTAATTTGTTCGGTTTTCTATTCGCTATACTTTGGGGAAATGGGTTGGGGCTCTTATGGGTTAAAGAAAGAAAATAATCTGCATAATTGCAAGTTGTAGTATTCATTATGAGAAAACCATTAGGTGCCACACTATGACGGCAGCATCTCTGTGCCAAAGATCTCACCGCAGCTCAAGAAGCTCAAACATGTCTTTATCTTAATATAACCACAGCAATATCGGCTTTATTCTTATCCCTTTCCATTTTCCTTTTGGCTGTTTAACCCAATAGCAGAAAAGGATTGGTGTAAACAAATATGAAGGGGTACCCAATCAAAACCTCATAGCAAAGAGGGGACTGAATTTGAATTTGTTGGATAACTTTCAATTGGTCT